CGGAGCTGGAGCAGAGCTTAGGTGAGAAAGCTGAGGGCTCGTGCAGGGCACCGGGAACAGGGTGCTGAGCTGGACTCTGACACCCAGTGTCATCCTCCTAGGGAAGTCCCTTATCCCTGAGCTTGGACCTCTGTCTTAGAAAGTGGTTTGCAAGCTGCCTGTCTTTGCTGAGAAAATGTTTGCTGCATACAGAAGGCAGGCCTGAGTCCAGAGATCATGACCTCTGACCTTGGTCCCCACTCCCACCCACCCTCTAGATCAGGGGTTGGGGCAGGCCCAGAGTCCCCTCATCCTGGCTCTTCACAGGGCAGGGAGCCCCTGCTGTGACTGTTCCCTCCCCACCCCCCACCTCCAGTGATTAACCCTGCTCCAGGGCCTGTGTCCCAGTCTCTGCTCATCTCTCTCCTTCTAAGTCCACCCCCAGCACCGCCGCTGAAGCCTGGGACAACAGGGCTCCCTGTGTCCCAGGGACCCAGGGGAGAGACTCACCGCCTCCAATCATTGCAGACCAAAAGACCATTGTGCACGTGAGTCCTCGCTGGATGACCTCCCTGAAGAACTACAGGGTAGAGAAGGGGATACTTAGCCAAACCTGGCACAGGGGTGGGGCTTGTGGGCACAGCATCCAGCCCACTGCCTGGCGGCTGCTCTGAGCCTGCGGCAGCAGCAGGCCAGGAAAGGGCCTTGAGGAAGGGAAGGAAGGATGAGGGTGTGGACGTTTCCCAAGGCAGGAGTCCAGAGCTGCATTGATATTGCTCTCAAGAACCCCAACCCCAACGTCTGAGACACTCCAGGGACCTCCTTCCGTCTCCCCAGAGCCAAGGGAGACTCTGGAATTGGGCAAGCAGGGCACCCCCCTTCCTGCCCCCGTTACAGTCTTAAGACACATTCTATGGGTGCCTGCTGTTGTGTGATCTCACCAACACCAGAAGGTGGGGGGTGTCTGCCTCCATTGTGAAGATAAGGCGACACCAATATTCAAGAAGGGTTGGTGTTTCATCCAAGGTCAGGGCAGTCCCAAGGCAAAGTGGGACACGACCTAAGTCCATCTGCTTCAGGGGCTGGTAATGGTTTCGAATTGGGTCCTCCTGCAACTTATCACTGACCACCACCCCCACCTCCACCCCCAACCACCTCACCCCTCCACACCCTAATGCTTGATGCCTGGGGTGGGGGGCCTGGGTATAGACATAGTTAATGGATCCCACAGTCTTCATGTCCAAGGGCAGGTGGGGGCTTGGGACCCCTTCCGAGAAGACCCACCTTTTTGTCATCTCAACTGCTGTAGTTCTGCTGACCCATGAGAAGAGTGGTCAGTGAATGATTGGGTCCGTGCTGGCCACCCCTCACTCCCAGAGCCCCCCACCCACCTTCAGGCAAGCCAACCCCCCTCCTGATCTTACCTAGAGAAGATCTTGGAAGAATGTGGCCGGAGGGCAGAGTTCAGAAATTTATAGCAAACCTGCCCCATCCTAAAGCACAGCCCACAGGGATGCAACTCGGGCAGGCAGCCAATCAGTTAAGTTTTGTTTTTTTGGAAACCGAAACCATCCACTGCCAATTAAACATGACGTCCTTTGTATGGGGGTGGAGGCAGGTTCTCTACACAATAGAGTTTATAAGAACACCGAATGAAAGACAGCCAATCAGAGAGTGCAGGTTGCCCTTTGAGAAGTTTCTAACCAAGGTTGGAGGGGACAAAAATCAAACAATGGTGGGCTCAGAGAAAGTACAGGAAGTTTTATGTTGTTGTTGTTTGGGGCTATTTGAGGCAGGTCTGACTCAGAGTGACTCTGTAGACAACAGAATGGAACACCTCCCTGTCCTGCGCCATCCTCACAACTGTTGTTGTGTTTGAACCCATTGTGGTAGTCATTGGGTCAATCCACGTGGTTGAGTGTCTTCCTGTTTGATAAAGTGGAAGGGCAGTGAACAAGAGGAACAACATAGCAACAATTGTGAGCATTGCCCAGGACCGGGTAGTGTTTCGCTCTGTTATGCATAGGTTGCTATGGGTTGGAACCAACTCAATGGTACCTAACAACAACCACAACATGGAGGTGTAATCTGTATTAAAGGCTGTAACCCTTGATCGTCATCAGAAAATGCTTCAAGACCTTCTCATTTTCAGCAAGCAAGGTTGTATCATCTGCATATCAAAGGTGGTGGCTGGCGGTGATTTTATGTCAACCTGTGTGGAGTTGGGGGTTGAGTCCAACCTGTCAATCAGATGGTAACCTGATGACACCTCCTTGGGGGTGTGGCCTTTTGGAGAAGACAAACATCGTGAAGAGAGACTCCTCTTTTGCAGCAATCCTTGATCTTCACCAAGTGCCTCCTCACTTTTAACCTGCTAGGTTATGTCCTCTGTATATCAAAGGTGGCTAATAAGCCTTCCTCCAATCTTGATGCTGGGTTCTCCAGAGGTAGTCCAGCTTCTCTGACGATTTGCATACAGATGGAAAAGGTATGGTGAGAGGATACAACACTGACACACATTTTTCTTGATTTTCAACCATGCTAGTCCCTTGTTCTGTTTGCAATGTTGCCACATATAGGTCCAGTATGAGTACAAAGAGGTGTTCTGGAAGTCTCGTTCTTCCATAATCTCAACATAATCATGGTTTGCTCTAATCCACATAGGCAAAGGCTTTTGCATAGTCAATAATAGTTCAAGTAAACATCTTTCCAATGTTCTCTGCTTTCAGCCAAGGTCTGACATCAGCAATGATATCATTTGATTCAGCTCTTCCTTTGAAGCGGGCCTAAAATTCTGCTGCAACCATTGTTCAATGATCTTTAGCAAAAGTTTAAATAAAGATCACAATACGAACAAACATATGCACACCTAAGTTTATTGCAGCAATTTTGGATAATAACAAAAAGAGAAAAACAACTCAAAACTCAAATTATAGAGGAATCGCTAAACTCTGGTACATTTATCCGATGGAATATTATGCATCAATAAAAAACAATGACAACTCTGTTAAACACTGCATAGACAAAATTAGAGAATATTATGCTTAGCAAAGTTAGTCGATCTTATAAAGATAAAAATTTCATGGCGCCATTATTATACGGGGAAAACAAAGGAAAAGAAAAGTTGTTTTCATACCAAAGGATAAGACTTTAAAGACTACAAGGAGGCCAGGAACGGGGTTGGGGATAGGAAGAGGGAAGGGACAGGAAGTTATGGAAGAAGAGAGGCGAGTGGGAGAAAAAACACACATTTATGGGACGTTTACAGGATACTATCACTGATGTGATTTGAGGAGATGGGTTGTACAACTACACAGAATACGTTTTACTTTTAAACCTTAAATAAATAAATACAGCTAAAAATGAAAATAAGAATAAACGAGAATGAAGAGTTACAGCCTTAAAACCCTTCCAGATCCCTTACCCTTTGTGGCAGTTACTTGTCTCCTGTCACCTTGTGAAGGGGTGGAGTCCAGCCTGTCTATCAGGTCTCAGCTGGATGACCTCATTTGGAGGCACCATGGAGATAAATAGCTCACTGGAGGCCAGATACAGACTTTCTGCTTCGTCTTCCTGCTGACAAGACACATGGAGCTATGCTTGAGCCCTGGAGGTGGAGGAGCCACGTAGAGACCCCTGCCTGAACTGGGATGCTTTCACTGCCACTGGATCCACAAGACTTTTCACCCACTGGCCCGCTCAGCATCATTGCATGTGTTGCGTGAGTCTGAAGAGGAATTTATGGACTGGTCTTGGACATATGACCTAATATCGGACATATAGACTTGATCTGGACTGGGCTAGGATATTTTCTAAATGAACAATTTCTTTTTGACATAAAGTTCTTGCTTACGTTTTTGAGTGTTTTTTTCTCTAGCCTACCCAGACTAACACACTCTTTAAGGACATTAGAAAGGAAAATAAAAGATGGGACTGGGGGGCTAATATAAAGGAGAACAAGAAAGAAGTGAATGATGGTGATAAATTTGACTGTGATATTGATTGTACAACTCTTCTTGACAGGATTGAACTATTGAATTGTATGATATATGGATTGGGTCCCAGTAAAACTGTTAATAAACTTCTCTAAAGAAGCCTGCCTACAACAGCCACCGGAAGTCAGAATTGACTCCATGTCAGGGTCTGGGATTTTTGGTTGGGGCTGTGTGCAGATTTCTCAAATGTGGGAGAAAATTCATCTCTGGTCTTACATAGACAATGTCTAAAAGGAATTAATCTTCATTTCCTAGTACTTCGGTCACAGTAACACCAAAAGTGAGTGGCTTTAAAGATTGTTCATTTATTTTCTCTGAGTTTAGGAGGTTAAAATTCTACATTCAAGGTACTGCTCTAGGGAAAGACTGTCTTGGCTCTGAGAGAAGATCTTTTTTCTGTGGAGGAGTGAAATGAATGTTGTGTGGTACTTCCGTCCATTCGTCTGTAACTCCCATCAAGTTGAGCCATGCAAATCAAGTATAGAGGACTCTAACGTGGGGATTGGTCAGTTTTACCATTTCCTTGGGTATAAGGCAGTGGTTCTCAACCTTCCTAATGCTGCGACCCCTTAATACAGTTCCTCATGTTGTAGTGACCCCCCCATAAAATTATTTTTGTTGCTACCTCATAACTGTAATTTTGCTACTGTTATGAATTGGGCGACCCCTATGAAAGGGCCATTGGACCCCCAAAGGGGTTGCAACCCACACGTTAAGAACTGCTGGTATCAGGAAACAATATCAGTAGCAGGAAGAGATTCCCAGGACCACCAAGAAAAAACAGCCACCAACACAGCATGTGTGAGATCCCTGCCTAATTGGCAGAGGCAGCAATGGCACCAGAGGCTGAAGCAGGGAGCCCATGAGACAGAACAGAGCAGCAGACTGCTTCCTGGCCCACTGAAGGTAGAGGCCAAGGGTTGGTGTGACTGAGAAGCTGAGGACCAGAGAGACTTAGCCGCTGACTGGGAACCGCTCCAAAGACTGTATCCGTAAATATTTACAACCCTCATTTTTGGTAACCTGTTACCATACCTTTAAAAAAAACAAACCCAAACCACAATTCCAGGTACTGTCTGTGAATTGTGTGTGCCCATCACAAGGAATTACAGAGCCCTGCCGGAGTGCCCTTGGGTGGGATGATTGGGTGGTAGGTCTTGATTCTGACTCGGGGCAATAAGGCCTTGAACTGGTGTAAAACTGGATTCTCTTCCTTTGTGTGGCCCAAAGAGGGCAGATGTGGCCTCTAAACCATGATTTCATCAACTAACCCATTCCTTTGTAAGTTCCCGATCTTCCTTTACTGAAACCTTGAGCCCAATGCCCTTTTGCCGCAGCGCTGAGCTCATTCCACGGGCTCGGCCTTTCCCGATTCGAATCATTTGTATTTCTCCAACAAAGCTCATCACTTTCAATGTTAACACATTCCGGTGTGCTCTTTATCAAACGGAAACGAGCCCAACGATACAAGAGCACTTGTGTCTCCCGAGTGAGTTGAAGCAAAGGCCCGTTTGGCTGGGCACAGTGGCTCCACCGCAGCCCAAAGCGCTGAGCGAGCACCCTGCACTCGCAGCCTCCCCAGCTCACGGAGCTAAGCCCGCAACTCCGCGCAGCAGCCAATCAGATTTCGGAGTTTAGAGTAGGGGCGGGACTTCCTCTCACCGTGCGCTCGCATAGGTGAATCGAGGCCCCGCCCCGGATCTGCAGCCGACGCGGCCGCGGAGGGGCGGAAGCGGCTGTTTCGGAGGCTGGAGCGTTTGAGGAGTCCGGCGGCGTCTCCACACGGTGTGTACCGGGGCTCGAGCCGGACTGGCACCGGCGCCAGAGAGCAGTTGGGAGCCATTACGCGGGTCCTCTGGATCCGGGGAGGGTGGCCGCCGGCCCAGACCGGCCTGATAGCTACGCCGGGGGCCTGTCCTGGCGCTCCGAGGCCCGGCCCCGCGCCCAGGCCCTCCCTCGGGCGCCGCGACTTCTCCGCCTCGTGCGCTCACTCGTGCCAAGATGGGGCACGACCACGAGGAGGGACCCCTGAGCGCTGCAGTTCGCAGCCCTAATCCTCGCCCCATTTGAGAGACACCCCCTCTTCTCGTCGCACCCCGAATGCTTAGGGCTGCGCGCTGACTTGTCTCCCTCGCCGCGGACGCCGTTCTTCTCGTGCGTCACTGCTCTCCACTCCGACAAGGGTGGGAGACAAGTGTCCGCGCCACCCCGTTTTACAGATGACGAGGCGGAGGCTCTCGTTGCTGACCAGAGCTGGGTGGCCACAGGGCTCGCCACCGTTCCTGGTCTTTCTGAAGCGAGGGGACCTGGACTGCATTCAGCCCCACCAACCTGTGCCCCCTACCATCGAGCCACCCTGTAGGACAGGAGTCGAACTAAGTGCGCCCCAGGGCCCCCGAAACGACCTCTATGCCTGGGGATCAACTGATGGCTTTGAACCGGCCACTGCTTTACTGGGTGAATGTGCTGTAACCCTTTGTGAGCCAGGGGAAAAGGCATATTACAGGTCTTTGGAAAGAGCACAGTGGTGGATGGGGTCGGCCATCCCTAGACTTTTTTTTTCATAAATCGTGCCCCCTTACCTCCCTCCCCGTGTTCTGTTCCAACCCCCACCCCACCCCTCGCTCCATAAAACCCTACATTTTAGTCCCGCCCTGGTGGATAAGCAGTGTGTTGCTTTGTGGTTCAAACCCCACCAGCAGCTCTTCTGAGAAAGATCAGGCTGCTCCCATGAAGTTACAGTCTCATGGACCCTGTACATAGATAGTCCCTGCGTCCGAAAAGGGTTTGGTCAAGAGGGCTACGTGTGGCAAGCATTTGCTTAGATATTATTATTAGAGTTCCACTCCCCCTTTAAAGATGAGAGCTCTGTGGGTCAGAGAGGAGGAAGCAGCACTGCCCAAGATGCCACAGCAGCTAAGTGTTAGATCTGGAATCTAAGGCAGATTTACATTTAGCTTATGGGTGCCCAGCTGTCTCTTCTGCAGCTGTATTTCTTTTCTTTCTTTTTTTTTTAAAGTTTATTTTGTTTTAGGTGGAAGTTTAGGCTGCAAATTAGTTACAATTTTCTCATTTCCATTCTGTTTGTTCTCCTTCCAGGAGTCTAGTTTCCCTACCCCTCCTTGCCTTCTCATTTATGCTTTTGGGTAAATGTCGACTGCTTGGCCTCTTATTAAGGGATTGTTTAAGGGAGTACCGGAGCCCTAGTGGCGTAGTGGTTATGTGTTGGCCTACAAGGTCAGCAGTTCAAATTCACCAGCCACTCCAAAGGAGGAAGATGAGGCTTACTACTCCCGTAAAGAGTTACAGCCGAGGAAAATCAAAAGGGCAGTTCTGCCCTGTTTTGTAGGGTCTGTCACTGTACATGGGCGTCAACTCGGTGTCAGTGAATTTGGTTTGTTTTTTTTTTTTGTTTAAGCGAGTACAGTACTCACAGTCTGTTGGATGGTTGTAAGATGAACTCCGCGAGTGCTCCTACTCCATGGCTATCATAGGGTGACAGTCTCAGGGTCCTCTTAGATTTATTATTGTCTGGCCTGTGTAGGAATTTGCATTTTGTTCTACATTTTCCTCTCATTCTGTTTGACCTTCTAGTGTGCTCTGGTCGGAATAGTTAGTAGTGACAGCTGGGCACATCTGGGTCTCGGGGGAGGAAGCTCTTTTCTGTGGGTTAGCTGAGCCTTAGGTTTCCTTCGTTACCGTTTGCTCTGGCAAATTGGTGACCCTGGAGTTGTATCTCAGGTGCCACTTCCCAGTTCTGAAAACCCCTAACGCCACTCACTGAACGATTAGGAACTATGCTGGGCCAGTTGCCTGAGGGCTCCTACAACAAGACTATGGTCCTGAGCCTTCAAATCCAGTAAACGGATTCTGAGGTATCGGGATATGTCTAGGAAATTTCTGTAACTGTGTTGTCTATTTGCTTATTGTGTATGTGAATATATGTATACGTCTGTGGGTGTACTTCTTCCCCTCTTTGATTTTTATCTTGTGGGGAGTATCAGTATTAGAGCTTTCTTGTGCCTTCAGTGTCATACGTTGCCTCAGAATCCTATTCTTAGTTACCTCTCTAATAGAATACTTCTCTCCTTTTCAGCAACCATGAAGTTGAAGGAGACAAAATCAAGACCAAAGGCACCCACCTCTGGCAAATCTAAGATGAAGGGAATCAAAGTTGTGGGAAAATGGAAGCAGGTGAAAATAGACCCGAACATGTTTGCAGATGGACAGATGGATGACTTAGTGTGCTTTGAGGAACTGACAGATTACCAGCTGGTCTCCCCTGCCAAGAATCCCTCCAGCCTTTTCTCCAAGGGGGAGTCCAAGAAGAGAAAGGCACAAGGTATTTCAGAAGGAGAGGAGGAAGGAGAAGCCAGCTCCCCAAAGAAAAAGATCAAGGTGAAGAAGAGTAAAGATGTAGAAACTGGAGGTACCAGTTCCCAGAAAGAGTCTGAGGTCAAAGATGCCACCCTAGAGCCTCAGGAAGATGCCTCCATTTGTCTTGAGTCAGAGGTAGAGGAAAGGGCATCAGGAAGCCAGACTCACACTTTACCAAAAAAGAAGAAAAAGAAAGGGAAGAAGAAAAGGCTAGAGCCCCCTCAGAGCACTGCTGCAAAGGTGCCCAAGAAGGCAAAAACATGGATGCCTGAGCTGCATGACCAGAAGGCTGACGTGTCAGCTTGGAAAGACCTGTTTGTGCCCAAGCCAGTACTCCGCGCACTCAGCTTTCTGGGGTTCTCTGCGCCCACACCAATCCAAGCACTGACTTTGGCGCCGGCCATTCGTGACAAGCTAGATATTCTTGGGGCTGCCGAGACTGGTGAGTGCCTCGGGGTTGTGCCTCTAAACTGCTAACAGGCTGGTGGCTGGAAGAGAGGGACATGTTGGAGAAATAGCCACAAAGACAATGTCTAATGAAAATGTTTCAACATTGTTTTACGTAGGTTTTGTGTCATCGGCTAGGCCAGGGTTCTGAGTAGCTTGACAGTAATTCCCAGTGGTGTAATCTAACATAACATAATCAACTCTATGAGCAACTAGCAGTTGTGCTGGAGTGTGGCCCCCTTGATCAGGTCACAGCCTTGATACAATTGGAAGAAAGTCTCTTCAGGGATGTGGCCTCCTCTTATTTAAGCAGGCTCTGTGGGAAGGTTTGTTGCTTCTGCTAGCCCTATATCCTGCATCTTATTTATGGACTTCTGATTCTTTGGACTTGAACCAGTAGCCTACCTTATTGCCTGCTATCCCAGGAACCATCAGTGGTCTGCCAACCTTGCATTTATTCCTCCTTTGCAGTTCATTAATCCTTGCAGCTACATGAGTGAGGAGAAGCCTCCAGATTAACATCTGATCCATAGACTTGAACTGGAATGGATTTAGCCTGCTTCTACAACTGTGCAACCTACTTTAATATAAATTTCTTTCTATATCTACACATGTGATATATGTAAATGTCATGGTTTTGCTTCTCCAGAGAACCCAGGCTAACACAGAAATCCACCCGCTCTGTGTTGGAATCTTGTACTTTCTAACTGGTACCTAGGACAGGTCACTAGCTCTCTGCGGCTACAGGCTCTACTGTGAAATGGAGATAGTGGTAGTGCCTACTATATGAGTGGTTATGCACCTTTTAAAGTTTATACAGTGCTGGGCATATTGTAAGTCATCTCTAAATGGTCCTTCTTCCTTTTCGTGAGTCTTTTCTGAATGGCCCTGCCTTAGACCGGGTCTCTAGAGAAGCAAACCCCAGGGTGCACATATACATACATCTATAGAGAGAAGAAGGAGACATTTATATCAAGAAAGGCAGTTCATACAATTGTAGGCGCAGGCAAGTCTAGTCAAATCCAGGCAGGTCCCAAGTCTGTGGGTCATGTTAAGGTGGAGCTCCTGGCTGGCAGTAGCTACAGCGACTGATGAACTTCACATTGACAGGAACACCACTGCCAGTTCGCTGCAGAGGCTGGTGAATCCAAGGTCAGCAGGTGGCAGACTGCTTATGGCTCCCAGGATTGATAGACAATATGGCAGGCTGTGGGCTCAAGTCTGAAGAACCAGAGTTGAGCCAAATGCGGCAGGATCTAGATCCAGCAAAAAACAAGCTTTCCCATTACATCCACTTAATTTAGGAAATAGGCCATTCCCCTGAGAAAACATCCTTTCAGTTGTTCAGGACTGTCACCTGAATAAGGGGTCACATTCTACCCTAATCTTATTACAACTGCATGGCTGCTCAGAGTCCATTATGGAGTTAACACTAGGTTTACGGACATTTCTTTTATGCTTATTTCTACTGACACCTGTCAAGTTTGACATGGGAATGAAACCACACGTTTTATTTTAAAACAACTTATTTAAAAACAACATAATTACACATCATTAACTCATAAAAGAAACTATGATACTATATATAAAAATTTAGACTAACATTCAACATTTGAAATAATTGGGTTCGATGTAAGTTACTTGTGTGGATGTCAGTCTGACATTCTCTGCTGCATTGTTTGTCTTTACATTTGATGTTTACTTTCTGGGAACTTTGGGACTACATTTATATTACTCGTAATGTTTTCATGCATGCAACAGATTTACTGGGATTAATACTCAATTTACACTCACATCAAATTGATCTGTATCCATTGAGATAGGTATACCACATGGAGAATTTTGAGACTAGAAGGCTTAGAAGAAAATAAACTTGGATATATATTTGTCTCATTAAATAGATAAAAGTCATCATACATGCCAGGAGGTAAATGTTAACGTTTGTATAATTTTGGCAGAGGAAATTGAAATGTGTCAAAATTATGCGTCCTGTAAACCAAGTGTTAATTACATTGGACTAGGTCACATCTTGGAGGATTAGTTGGCCTGAACTGCCAAACCACAAGAACCCTGGCCCAGCCAAGTTGTCGCAAAACATCCATCACAGGTCTGAAGGAGGAAGGTAGGGCTAAGATTACTTTTCTGGAGAGAAATATTCCTCAGGATAGGGACGAGCCAGCTCCTCACCAGTTGGCTAAAGATCAAAAGGGGAAGGCAAAGTTTCTTGGTGTAGAAGTTTTTGAGTGTGTCATATAGAACCATTGGATGGATTTGTAGGCACATTCAAGCATGAAGTGGTCCCTTCATTCCTTGTACTGGCTAAGATAGTGTGAAAAAGTGGCAAGTTACCTGACTGCGTAGACAAGACTACTGACTAGGGAGGGATTTACTCTGGAGTGGAGCTTGTTCTGCTTGGAGCTTCTAGCTCAGACCAACATTATCCAGTAGATATATATGACATGAAACGTGTAATTTTAAACTTCCTAGGAGCCACATTAGAAAAAATATATAAACAAATAGGTAAAGAATAATTTTAACAAGGTGTTTAACCAATTGATGTTAAATAATTGAGATAGTTTACACTTAGATTTTTTTTGTCTTTTAAAACCTGCCATGTGTTTGAAACTTAAGAGTACATCTCAGTTTAGACTAAATCACATTTCAAGGGTTCAATAGCCACCCTTGGCTACTAGCTCTTGTACAACATAAAGTTACTGGAGACACTAGGCCTTGGGCTTCTGAAAGAGAATCATCAGATGTTTGGGGCTGGGTCCTTGGGGAGTCACACAGATGGAGCAGGGAGGATGCCCTACCTGAAGTGCTTCATTGGTGAGCTTGACCCTCACATCCACCTTGAGGTAAGAACCGGTGGGTTTGGGTCAGTGGGTCCCATTATTGTTCCAATCTTCCAGATAAGGAGACTTGGCTTTACAGAAGATGGACCACTTAAGTGCCTGGAAAGGTCACAGCTAGACATTTGTAGTGCCTGGATTCTAAGCTGTGTCTGTGGGCTCTTAAGCCCGCTGCTGCACTGCTGGTAACTCTATGTAGGCTTGGAAGTAGGTCCCTGGAAGGCAGAGGCAGCGTCTATGCAAGCTGCTGTGGCTGGATCCTAGCATTTGGAAGTCATCTGAACTGCTGACCTGCGTTTCAAAAAGGATTGAGATAGGCCTTGCATTTGGATTTGTGGACAAAGTGCTGTCCACACAGTTGAAGAAAACACAAGGGGGCTTCAGAAAAATTACTGTAAATTTTCTTTTTTTCTTAAATTCCATTTTTTCTCATAAACTTGGAAGCCACCTCATAATCTCCCCCAATGGACCCCTTGGCAAATCCTTCTGTACATCCTCTCCTTGCCCATCCAGGCAACCACTGGTGGGCTTTCTAATACTGTCATTAGAGTGAAATTATAGGTACTTAATGTGGGGACTGTGGGTGCTTGGTGCCTCGTGCCTCGCTCTGGCTCTGGCTCTGGTTCTGCTAGTCAGCATATTTGAGATTCAGCCATGTTACTGTGAGTAGCATAGTTGGCTCCTTTTTATTGATGAGTAGTATTCCATTTGGGAGCCCTGGTGGCATGGTAGGTTAAACGTTGGGCTGGTAATCACAAGGTCAGCAATTTGAATCCACCAACCACTCTTCGGGGGACGTTCAGCTCCCATGGAGTTACCATCTGGGAAAGTCACAGGGGCAGTTCTGCCCTGTCCTAGAGTGTCACTATGCGTCCTAGAGTGACAGTGGGTTTAGTGTGAGTATTCCATTGTGTACATGTCTCCCATTTTGTTTTCCATTTGTGTGTGTACTCATTTGTTGGTGGGCATCATGTTCTTGGTTGTTAAAAACGTGATGAATGCTGGTGTAGGAATACCTAGATGTGGAATGGCTGGGCTATGTGGTAAGTGTTTATGTGTAGGAGTTCTCCAAAGTGGTTACATCCTTTTCTTTAATCATTTTATTGGGGACTCTTACAGCTCTTCTCACAATCCATACATCCAACCATTGTCAAGCACATTTGTACATGTTTCCATCATCTTTTTCAAAACAAGAGTTAGGAGAGTTAGAGTGGGTCCAGATCCTTGCCAACATTTGGTGTGACCAGTTTTTAATTTTATTTTAGATTCTTAAAATTAAAGTGGTCATAATTTATATCCCCAGAGGAAGGTACCCAACAAGATGGATTGACACGGTGGCTGCAGCAATGGGTTTAAGCACAGGAGCAATTGTGAGGGTGGTACAGGGTAGGGCAGTGTTGTGCACAGGGCACTATGGGTTGGAACCCACTCAGTGGCACCAGACAACAGTGACTGATGAGTGCCCCTGGGTGGTGTAAATGGTTTTCTTCTGACTACACCTGAAAGACAAGCTGTTTGAACCCACATAGCAGTGCCGTGGAAGAAAGGCCTGATAGTCTGTTTCTATAAAGATCACAGCCAAAAAACCCAAGGCCACTCAGCTCTTAACATGGACTGCCTGTCACACGTCAGAACCAACTGTGTAGCAGTAGGTGGTGGTGGTGGTGGTTGGTGACTAATGATACCGTGCGTATTTACCATCCTTGTTCTGTGGTGAGGTGTCCAGATCTTTGGTCTATTTTTAATTGGGTGGCTTGTATTCTAGTCACTGAGTTTTGAAAGTTATTCCATATTCTTGTTGGTGGTGCTAGTTGCTGTCGAGTTGATTCAGCAAGGTCTAGGCTGTGACCTTTGGGAAGAGCCTCTGGTGGGATTGCCCTGAGAGAGTTTGGCTAGTGGTCAAGTGCTGAAGCATTTGTGCCACCCCGAGAGCCCCACTCCTGTAGCAGTGTTCAGGATCCCCATCCTCCAAAGTCTGGGGTTGTCATTTCATTTTCCTAGCAGGCTCTCATGGAGCAGAAGTTTATTTGAATGAAGTTCAAACAATCAGTATTTTTCTTTCATGGACTTGCTTTTGGGGTCTTCTCTAACAACTCTTTGTCTAACCCAAAGTCACTTAAGATTTTCTCTTGTTTTCATTATAGAAGATCCCCCTCCCCCTTGGCCCCAGGTAGTGTTAGGTTCTGTGTTTTAGTCTCTTTGATCCTCATTGAGTTAACTTACTAAAATGCTGGGTTTCATCCCCTAACTGAAGGGTCGTGGGGAGGAGACGAGCCAGTTGGTGCAGTATAGCACCAATGAAACATACAGCTTCCCTCCAGTTCTTTAATGCTTACCCCACCCCCACTATCATGATCCCAATTCTACCTTACAAATCCGGAAAGACCAGAAAAGATGTACACTGGTACAGATAAGAACTGGAAACACAGGGAATCCAGGACAGATAAGCCCCTCAGGACCAATAATGAGAGTAGCGATACCAGGAGGGGAAGGGGCAGGTGGAGGAGAAAGGGGGAACTGATCACAATGATCTAAATATAACCCCCTCCCTGGGGGGTGGCCAACAAAAAAGTGGGTGAAGGGAGATGTCGGACAGTGTAAGACATGAGAAAATAATAATTTATAGGAGGGGGAAAAATGAGCTGATACCAAGGGCTCAAGTAGAAAGCAAATGTTTTGAGAATGATGATGGAAACAAATGTGCTTGATACAATGGATGGATGGATGGATTGGGATAAGAGTTGTATGAGCCCCTAATAAAATGATTTAAAAAGAAAAAGATGATGACAACATATGTAAAGATGTGTTTGAGGGGGAGAAAGAGAGTGGAGTTCATCCTGGTCCACCAAACCTTGAGGACGATATCCTTGCTCAGAACAGCCAACGCAGAGAGGACTATATGGCCCCACTATGAGACACTGCATCCATCGCTGACCCATGACCCTACAGGAGACAATACTGGATACACAGTGTCGGGATTGCACCCAGTCTGGCCCCACTACACCAAGGCAAAACACTGAGGGTGTGTGGCAGAGCAGTGGGGGGAGTAGAGCAGGGAGGTCCCCAGGGAGTGCCAAGGATGGACGTTGGGGCCAGAGGTGAACAAATAGACCTTGAACGATTAAAAAAAAAAAAAAAGATGTGTTTGACAAAATGGATATATGTATGGATTGTGATAAGAGCTATAAGAGGCTCCAATAAAATAAAAATATTTTGGCATATGGATTCTAGAACAGTTTGTTGAAAAATTAACCTTTCTTCATTGAGTTACCTTAGCATCTTTGTTGAAAATCACTGGTGGTACATATGGGTGTGTTAGTCTGGGTACATTAGAAAAACAAATCCACAAAAACTCATAAGAAAGTTTTATATAAAGGGTAAGTGCACATCAAGAAAGCATCCCAACCCAGTGCTGCTCAAGCCCACAGGTCCAACATTAGCCCATATGTCTGACACCAATACACAGAATCCTCCATCTCAAAACACGGGAGGAAAGCCGAATCGGTGAACGTGTAAGCATCTCAGCGCTGGCGGGGGTCTCCATACAGCTGCTCCAGCACCCAGGGCTGCGTCAGCGTAGATCCAGGTGGCTTCTCCTCGGATGTCTCACAGGAAGTGAGCCATGCCAGCTGAAGCAGGGAACTGGCTAAGGCAGCTGCCTGCCCCCTGGTCCGACTGTCAGAAAGCAAGAGCTCCAAGAACTAGAAAGGCGAGGCTCACCGAGCCATTTATCCCTCCGCCTTTCAATTGACCCCACATGTGTTTATCGGCCAGGTTGGCACAGTAAACTTTATCTCAGTGGGTCTGTGAGTCTCTACTCTTTTCCATTGATGAACTTGCCCTTTACCCTAGTCCTCCCCTGTCTTCATTGTAGTAGCATAGTTCTCCATGGACAGCTTTTTGCTCCTCTGTTACTGAGTTCATCCAAAGTAGTATATATTCTTGATGAGATTATAAATGGTCATTTAAATGTTTAAAATTTTTTATTGCTGTTGTGGTTGTTAGGTAGTGTCGAGTCAGTTCCTGTTCATAGTGACCCTACATATAGCTGAAGAAAACACTGGCTGGGCATATGCCTTCCTCACAATTATTGTTATATTTGGGCCCATTGTTGCAGCCACTGTGTTGGATTGTCTTCTTTTCCACATGTCCAAAGAGTATGAAATGAATATTTCTCCATCTGCCCTTCTAAAGAACATTCTGGCTGTACTTCTTCCCAGATTCGTTTGTTCTTCTGGTAGTCCATAAAAATGACGTTCTTTGATATATGGCCTTGTATTTGTCTATTAAGATTTAAAGCAGGGTTATATATTTTGGTATTACACACACACACACACACACACATTTTCCCCCTTTTTTATTACCCCCCCCAAATATTTTTTCTTAACAATGACAACAGAAACACACACACACACACACACACTGCTTTCCCTTTGAGGATTTGTTGCCTGGGCATTTGTCTTTGGCTCATCCTCAATGCCAGTGTGTAGACTTTCCCTAGGCTGACCAGCCTTTTCCCCAGCCCTGGACTTATTGGTGCGGTGGTGGGGCAGGGGTGGTGAGAGGGTGGGACTGTGTAGGGTGGAGGCACTTTGAATTGGCCAGGGTGGCACTTGGCTATTTCAGTGTCTAATTCTGTGCAAAAGCACAGCCCTAGACAAACATGCGTCTGCTGATTCACTTTTTTCTTTTTAACTTAAAAGGAAGTGGGAAAACTCTTGCCTTTGCCATTCCGATGATCCATGCCGTGCTGCAGTGGCAAAAGAGGAAGCCTTCTCCGGCTCCAAGCACTGCCGGGGCACTGCCTGGAGGCACCCCTGCTGAGGCCAGCACTGAGACAGAGTCACCAAGCAAGTCAGGCACTGAGTCTGGGACACTGCCTGATGTGACTGGAGTTCAGAGTGAAGCATTGTTCCCAGAGGCCGGAGCTAAGACTGGGGCTGCCAACTCGGGCTCAGGGCTGCTCCTCTGTGGTGGTGATGATGATGCTGGTGAAGACCCTTCTCCCCAGACCCAAAAGGCTGGCTCCCAACAGGACAAGGACCGTGAATACGCGCTCATCGAAGAGCAGATGGGAAAGTTGACCCGTGAGTCAAATGGTAGCACTGCTGCCCGTCAGGAGCGCCCCTGGCGCCCTCTGCTTGGACTGGTTCTGACTCCCACTCGAGAGCTGGCTGTCCAGGTCAAGGAGCACATCGATGCTGTGGCCAGGTTTACAGGTGAGGTGTGAGTCCTTCACATTCAGGTGTCCTGAGAGCCTCCCAGATGCTGGGGAGCAAAGTAATGAGCCGGGCTGCCCGCCCTTTTGGGAGATTTTCTTTGACAGAAGATGGGATCAGAAACTGTTTTCTCAGCTATAGATCGCATGTGCCAGCCTAGGTGCATGGACAGGTGATTTATTGGATACAAGAGATAACTCAGGGCTGGAGTTGGTAAGCTGCCGGTTTTTGCAAACAAAGTTGATATTCGTTTGTGTGTTGTGTGTGGCAGCTTTTGCTACAGACGTAAGAGTGGAGTAGGGTTAGGAGTTGTAACAGAAACCATCTGGCCTGCAAATCCAACGCAGTTTACTTTTTGACCTTTTAGAACAGCGGTTCTCAACCTGTGGGTCACGACCCCTTTGGGGGGCGAACAACCCCCACAACAACAACCATAGGGTCGCCTAGGACCATCGGAAAATACATACAGTCAAGATTTCAAAATATAATTACACATTTTGTGATTAATCACTATGCTTTAATTATGTTTAATTATGTTCAATTTGTAACAATGAAAATACATCCTGCATAGCAGATAATATTTACATTACGATTCAAAATTATAGTTATGGAGTAGTAATGAAAATAATTTTGTGGTTGGGGTCACCACAACATGAGGACCTATTAAAGGGTTGCGGCATTAGGAAGGTTGAGAACTACTGTTTTAGAGGCTTGGATAGTTACTGCCTTTCAGCATTACAACTTCATGCTCTCAGGGAATTCCTTTTTTGCAAAGGCTACAGTGAACATTTTATTTTTGTAATAAAAGCAGCAATTTTGTACTTTTACACTGCGAGGCAGTGCTCTGTGTATAGGCGTTTGCCCTGCCTGATCAATGTGATCCTTCCCCATGGGCATGAAGAGAGGCGAGCCAAGGGGAAGTCTCCTCCAGCTCCAGGCGTGCGGGTGGAGGGCTCGCTCGGGGAGGCGCTGTCACGTCCTGCTCAGCACTGGTGCACCATTGCTGCGTGTTTTTTTTCCAGGGCATTGGAGGCAAGCACACGCCAGTTTACAAACAGACCTTCTTGGCAAAATGCAAAAACCAGACTTAGTGGATTACTTGAGACCAGAGAGCTCCCTGGAACTACTACCCTGCGATAGCCTTCAAACCTTGAACTGAAATGCAACCTTTGATGTCACCTGGTCGCTAATTAACTATTTGATTAGTATCTACTGTGCTGCGTAAAGGGAACCCAGGTGGTGGGGTTGTACGCATTGAGTTGCAAACCATGAGGTTAGCAGTTTGAAACCACCAGCTGCACCATGGGGGAAAGATGAACCTTTCTCCTCAGAGACGCACAGGGCAGTTCTGCCCTGTCACGATGTGTCAGATGTGACTCATGGCAATGAGCTTGTTTTTCTTAGTGCTGCTTAAAATTTACCTTATGACACTGAGTAGTCAGCAGTTCCTTTACGACAGAAATGAGGATGTAAGGGCACAGTGATGCTAGATCGATGGCAGTGTGACAGCCAGAGTAGAAGTGCACACAGTGTGACAAAGGCAACCACCTTGGCTGAGGCTGTGTATAGAGATTGTGTGTATGTCTGGAGGGGGAGGTAGTGGGGGGGGGGGGAGGGTCTAAAGTTATTTAATTAGGGTAGAATCCGCAGTTCTCAACGGGGGGGGGGCGGACCCTAGGCTGCTGTGTAAGCCTCCACCTCAAACCCAGGAAAATGAGGCTGAAGCACAATTGAAGCCCGGCGGTAACGGTACCCCTGACCCTTTGTGTGTCGTAGGAATTGGAACTGCCCTCTTGGTAGGTGGGATGTCCACCCAGAAGCAGCAGAGGATGCTGCACCGTCAGCCTGAGATTGTGGTCGCCACTCCAGGCCGACTGTGGGAGCTGGTTAAGGAGAAACACCCGCATCTGAGCAACCTTCGAAAGCTTCGGTGAGCCACGGCCCTCCCTCTCCCTCTGCCTCTCCGGTCTGAATAGGCCTGAGGGGACAGGGTAGCCTGTGCAGTGCCTTCTTGCTGCCACCGAGGGCCCTGGTGAGATACCAGCAGACCGGCCGGAGGGAGCTTGGTTGAGACTGGTGGGATGTGTGCCGGTGCATTGGGGGCTGAAGGGTGGCAGGGAGGAGGGAGTCTGGAGAAACTTCTAACCTGGTTCTGGTGGTCTGCCTGGCCCTGCAGGTGCCTGGTGGTGGATGAGGCCGACCGGATGGTTGAGAAAGGCCACTTTGCTGAGCTCTCCCAGCTCTTGGAGTTGCTCGGTGACTCTCAGTACAACCCAAAAAGACAGACACTTGTGTTTTCTGCCACGCTGACCCTGGTCCACCAGGCACCGGCGCGCATCCTGCACAAGAAGCACACCAAGAAAATGGACAAAGCTGCTAAACTGGACCTCCTCATGCAGAAGATGGGCATGCGGGGCAAGCCCAAGGTCCTGGACCTCACGAGGCATGAGGCCACTGTGGAGACACTCACCGAGACCAAGATCCACTGTGAAGCTGATGACAAGGACCTCTACCTGTACTACTTCCTGATGCAGCACCCGGGCCGCACCCTGGTCTTCGCCAACAGCATCTCCTGCATCAAACGCCTCGCGGGGCTCCTGAAGGTGCTGGACATCATGCCGCTGACCCTGCACGCCTCCATGCACCAGAAGCAGAGGCTTAGAAACCTGGAGCAGTTTGCCCGGCTGAAAGAGTGAGTCAGGCCTAGCTCCTGGGCCCCGTGGACAGAGGGAGGCGACACTGGGCCAAGGGGGCTTTGCTGCTTGAAGGCAGCCTCTTTGACGCGGCATTAGACAGGCTCACCGCTCCTTTGCGTTTATACAGAAGGGTCCATGTTAGTGAGGGCCACCTCAGGTTGCCATTGAGTGGACCTTGACCCACGGTGTCAGAGCAGGTGTGTCAGCATAGGATTTTGGTGTCTAGTTTTAGAAATACACCAGTAGGCCTCTGGGTGGACTCAAACCACTGACCTTTCACTCAGCAGCCAAGCCCGTTCACGGTTTGTACCACAAGCTGGTTTTCACAGGAGAGGTATGGGAGAGTGGGTCCTGTGCGGGCATTTCTGACAGCCTGGCAAGGCATCAGGAAAGAGTCATGGTTCGTGCACAGACCTGGGACCTGGACTGCCAAACAGCTCATTCCAGCGCTATCACTTACTACCTAACCTTTCAGGCTTTTCTCCTGTCAAATTGGGATAATGGTAGAGGGTCTCTCTCATTGGTCCTCGAATGAGCATTAAACGTGTGTGGGTTCATGTCTGTGCGGCGTTCAGAACAGTGACTGGCGCACAGTATGAATGTTGGCTTTGATCATTGTTCTGCTGCTGCTACTGTTTATCAATATTCTCAGCATACAGAGACAGAACATGAGGTCTCGAGGCTACTCAGCTTGCTGAGCTGGGTGCAGGCAAGCCAGTCAGACTCCAGGACCCTTGTCTGCCCTGACGTTGAACAGGCTGCAGTGTCCAGATGAGGGCCTGGTGTTGACTGAACTGGTGTTTGCCAGCAATACTGTGTCAGGTTGTGGGTGGCCATGAATCTTTAGAGCCTGAGGTGTCGAGCAGGGCTCGCAGAGCTGATGGGTTTCAAGAGAAGCTTGTACGGCGCACACAGCTGAACATGTTCATTACTATCTGCCCTTTCAGAGAATACGTCTGCCGACCTAGAGCAGGGTTTTTGACATTTGCAAACTGAGAGGCAGGGACCCAGAGTCTGGAGTTTGGTGTGTGGCTGTGGTGCTGCTCTTGCTGCTGCTGCTCCTCCTCCGTGCTGGCCTGGAGCTTGCACGCCTCTGTGTTGAGTCGTGCTTGTTAGTAAAGTAGAGCAGAGGCGGGGATGGTCGTGAGAAGGAGACTGGGACCAGGCCAAGGGAACCTCTGCTGCTGGGAAGTGGGGCCAGAGAGCTAAAGAAAGCTGGGGGCTGAGTCTAAGGGGCAGGGCTTCCAGGGAAGAGCTTGGCACTTGGTGTAGCCGGATAGACGGAAGTGGGAGAGGGGCCTTGGAGACAAGGTCACTGGTTCCAGGTCAGTGGGACCTCCTGTTGGTCGTTTACCACTGCATGTTGGTTATGGTTAGATTGGCCTAGGCTTGGATCCTGGCTCCATAATTTAATAGCCAGCTGTGTCCTTGTCTGTAAAGGGAGCTAGTGATTTAAAACTCCAGCACATTTAGAACGCTCACAGAGTGGTAAGAGCCTGGTAAATGACTCCTCTGTTAGCTGCCTTTATTGATGAACCTTCTCTACTACAGCTGTGTTCTCCTGGCAACAGATGTGGCGGCCCGGGGTCTGGATATTCCTGAAGTCCAGCATGTCATCCATTACCAGGTACTCTCCTAGCTTGGAATCAGGGAGTTTCATTTCTGGGGTGGTGAGGGGTTGGAGTATTGTTAGTTCCAAGGCCTCGTGCAGCTGAGAATCCCAGTGATTTCCAGGACCCAGCTGCTGCCGTTATTGGAGGGAGCACTAAGGCATGCAGATGTAAGATATGTTGTCAGGAACCTCTCGATGTTGTCCAGACCGGTGGTTCCCAACCTTCCTCATGCTGCAACCCTTTAATACAGTTCCTCGTGTGTGGTGACCCACCCCCTCCCAACCATATAATATTTTCGTTGCTACTTCATGGCTGTAATTTTGCTACTGTTTTGAATCAGGCGACCCTGTGAAAGGGTTGTTTGACCCCCTAAAGGGGTCATGACCCACAGGTTGCGAGCTGCTGGTCTAAATGCAAATTGCCCATCTCTGACTTCTCACCCCTTTCTCTTAATCTCTGTTTCGTCCACAAAATAGGTGTAGTAAGTGGGTACCGTGGTGTAGAGAGCGGCTGACTGGCATGAAGAGCCTGCCCGGACCCAAAGCCCAGCTGTGCAGTCTGGAGCAAGTGATTGACCCTCCTGCCTCCGCTGTCCTGGGGGTTCACAGGAGTCACGTTAGGGCCTCATCTTAGACTTCAGGATGTGGGCAGGCTTGAGGTGCTTAGAAAATTGCCTGTGCCTCGATGACTATGTGCTACTTGTAAACTGTTGACAAACCAAGCTCAACACCATCGAGTTGATTCCAACTCAGCGACCCTGTAGGACAAAGCAGCCCTATTCTGGACTTCCCAAACTGTGTTTGGATGGTGGCAGGCAGCCCATCTTTCCCCCACTGATGGGTAGGCGAGTTTGAACTGTCTGCCTCACCTTGAGCAGCCCAACACGGAACCCATTAGGTTTTTATAGCAGTTCTTATAAACTGTTATCAGTTTGATATTTACTTTCTAAGTTTCATTGGAGAATAATTAAGGTATCATACAACCCGGTGGTTTAAGTGTGTTAGGAAGACCTGTGCAACTGGCAGTCTTTCTCTTGGTGACACACCGAGCGCATGCCTGCTGAGTCAGACTGGCCGGGCCTGGGCTTGGACCCCAGCTGGCTGTATTGAGCTGTTCATTCTCACTGGTTTCAGAGTCCCTGTGTGTAAACTGGGAGGCATTGTGGCCTACAGTGAATAGGTTCTTGCAAGATTGATCATTATATAAGGCTGGTGACTTACACAATGTAAGTGCTTCCTCAAGTGGAGTTACTGCGACATAATTGATAATTTCCCCCATACCCCTTTTTGCTTTAAACATCTTTTAGGATCCCAGTTCAGCTTAGCAGTTCTTCACTTTTCCTCTCTTTGGAGAGAGGGCTGGATCAGTCTGTGGGTGAGGTGAGGTGACCACGGGCATAGGTAGGCCAGGGATACTGGGGGAGCAGGAACAGCATGGGAGGTTGGAACATACTTTGTGCAAGGCGCTTGGTATTTCAGGGAAAAGGAGGGCACGTGCGGGTTGGCGGTTTTGGCCACAGTTGGCTGTGAGAAGAGGAATCATGGCCCAGGCTGGAGCCATGCCATGCAGAGCTCAGGTGGTAGATCTGTGTAGTTCCCGGTGGCTGCCCAGAGCCCGGTGTGGAACAGAGCAAAGACAGGAATACTTGCCTCGTTGGTGCTGCTGTGCCATGTGCTGGACAGGTACCACCAGCGTCCTTGCTGTCCTTGGCCGTGACAGTGTGCTTGGAGCTTGGCATGGTCTACTTCGGTTCCAGTCCTGGCCCAGCTTAGTTGGATAACCAAGAGAGTGGCTGCCTTCACGGTGTTTGTGCTTCTTGCGTGATGAGGTTGCTGTGTCCTGTGGCTCTGGTGCAGGGTAGATGGTAGCACGGCTGTGTGCAGAGCGCTGAGAGCTGCCCGGCACGAGGTCATCATGCAGTCACAGTCGGTTTGTGTGCCTCTCAGCAGAGCTCATGAGGAAGTACTGGATTTCTCGAGAAGAGCAGGCATACAGCCAGAGCACTGATTGGTGGTGTGGCATGGAGGGGACCGGAGAAGCCACTGCAGTTGCTCAGTGGAGGGGCTGAACCTGGGGGCAGTTGGATTATGCTCCCAAGGGAGCAGGTCTGCATTGGCCCATGATGCTAGAGTGTTGTCTATAACAGCCTGGTTGGGGGAGGTGGCCCTGGGGTGGACCCTAGTACCAAGGGCAAGAACTATCTGGCCACTCCCTGAGTATTGACCTCCCCGCCATCCTTTGGCAGGTCCCTCGCACTTCAGAGATCTATGTCCACCGAAGTGGTCGGACTGCTCGAGCCACCAACGAAGGCCTGGGCCTGCTGCTGATCGGGCCTGAGGACGTAATCAACTTTAAGAAGATTTACAAAACCCTCAAGAAAGATGAGGACATCCCACTGTTCCCTGTGCAGACAAAGTACATGGACGCCGTCAAGGTAACCTTCTGTTGGCCAGGACGCAGTAGCTCCTTCTAGGCTCCTGGCTGCGGGTGGGGGGAGGAAGTTGGCTTTGGACACCTGTGGGTTGGCAGCTATTCCGGAAAGCTGGCTCTGTGGGGGCCTGTGCGCATGTGACACACACACACAAACAGAATGATAGACACCTGCCTTTGCAAGGGCCGTTGGTGATACAGGAAGTGCTCAGCTGCTAACAGAGACATTTGCATTTGGAGCCCACTCACAAAGACCTGCCGTCTGCTCCCCTAAAGGTGCCAGGCTAGGAAACCCTATGGGGCCACTGCTCAGCCACAGGGTGAGTGTGAGTCACAGTCGACTCAGTGGGGCCCAGCCGCCCAGAAGCCTGGTCAGGGAGCTGAGCCACTTCCCTGGTCACAGTTCTCTGTGAGGCTGCTCCCAAGGTAAACCTCCTTCCAGGCCACCCTTGCTGTTGCTTCCCCAGGAGCGGATCCGTTTAGCCCGGCAGATTGAGAAGGCCGAGTACCGGAACTTCCAGGCTTGCCTGCACAACTCCTGGCTGGAGCAGGCCGCAGCTGCGCTGGAGGTGGAGCTGGAAGAAGGGATGTATAAGGGTAAGGCTGGGCTGCAGGGGCGCACCCTGCTCTTGATGTTGCTCTTCTTCTGATTCTTCAGTTTTTGCCTCCTTGAAGCGGTCTCCTCCACCTTTGTTCCTGTCAGACACCCTGGGCTCCTCTGCTGAGGCCCAAGTCCCAGATGAGGTCTTAACTGCTTCATGGTTTCTCTGGCTCCTCCAGACAGGGAGAAGTGTGGGGTTTCTTCCCGTAACGTGGTCTCTTCCTTTGCTCCCAGTTCCCCCTCCGTAAGATGGGTGCCCCAAGTGACTGCCTCAAGGGGTGCTTGTCAAGATCGCTTCTATTCCCACGTGTGAAGGGCTTAGACAACACCTGACAAGTAGAACGTTTGTGGGGGCGACTTAGCCTTACTGTTCCACCCACACCTGCTGCCCAAGATGTCCTGCCCCAGGTGTCCAAGCACTTGGTGTCTCATTTGCTCTTCCCCATAAACGGCAGCCAGTGTCGCCCTTTTATAGGTGGGCACTAGAGGGATTTGTGCAGGGAAACAGTGACTCCCCACCAGGTGTTTCCAAGCTCCAGCTATGAAAGTGAGCCAGGTGCAAGGATTCAGGGATGAATCTGCCATCTCTTCTCTGGGAGGACACCCACAGTTGGCACGAGGGCACCGAGTGGGCAGCTCCATTCAGCAGTGGGCATTTTGGCTGCTGCCAGCCAGCCTGGGTGCCAGGAACCTGAGCTGGGCGCTGATGCAGGGAACCAGGCCTCCTGGAAGCTCGGCCCGAAGATGTACGAGGCCCTGCCTTACCTTCCTGAAAACCAGTGTGTGGGCTCAGCACTGGTGCTGCCTTGTCGGGGATGGGCAGCAGGAGGGGGGGTTGTTCATTCTCCTCAGTGTCACCCACCCAGGCAGCAAATGAGGAGCAGAGAAAGGAGGCGTGGGCTCTCATCTGTGACAGGTAGCTCTCCGATGTGAACAGAAATAACATCTCTATGCCTCAGCTGAGCTTTCTCATCTGTGCAGTAGAGACTCTCAGCACCTTAGAGGGTGTTTGGGAGTTAAGGCCAGGGTGGCCCTGAGTGTCCCTCCAACTTTGTGAGAAGTAGCCTAGGACAGTGTTCATCACACCAACACCCACACGACTTTTCTGCCCTGCCCAGAGAGTTCTGAAGTGTTTGTATTAGTGAGTCTTCACCGTTCAAGGAAGCAGCAATTCTAAAAACCTTGGTTCATCCGATCTTTCTGTGTGTGTTTCAAGGAGGAAAAGCTAATGAGCAAGAAGAGCGGCGGCGACAGAAGCAGATGAAGGTCTTTAAGAAGGAGCTGCGTCACTTACTGTCCCAGCCACTATTTAAAGATGACCTACAGACCAAGTACCCAACGCAGTCTGGCAAGCTGCCCGGGGGCCTGACTGCCCCGAGAAACGGCGAGTCTGCGCTCAGCTGCGTGTCCAAACAGAAGAAGAAACAGAAGCAGCAGCTCAAGGAGCAGCCACAGCCCAGTGCCAGTGCCAGTGCCAGCTGAGCATGCTGGCCAGGAGTGAGGCTGCTCTCCTTGTTCCTGTGACGCCCTCCTGCCTAGCCTTGGGTGTCTGTCACTTGTCACATTCACTGCCTGAGCTGCAGGAGACCTCCCCAGTGTGTGGTTGGGAGGGGGCGGCCCGTGTTCCAGTGCATGTTCAGCTTGATTTCGTAAATTAAAAACCGTGCTCAGAGCCTGCATGTTGCCCTGTATTTGTAGCCAGGTGGTGGTGGTACTGTTGTGTCTTGTTGACCTACTGAGTCCTCTGGGGTGGGTGAACACAGGGACAGGGTTGTCCCAACTATAGGATGCTCCTGGGTGCTAGAGTTTTGAAGACCCCGAGAAGTCCTTTCCGCCAGCTTCCCCAGACCCCATTCTCCATAGCAAAGCCTGCTAGCTCCTCAGCACTGGGGTGCTAAGCCACCCAGGCTCCAAGTGGGCAGAGGGGCTTCCTGACAGTCATGAGCCAATGTGGGGGGGTAGGAAGAGACCGCGTCAGACCAGCCAGGCCCTGGAGCTGCTCTGGCCCCTTTGCCCTTGTCTTCCGCCACCCTCGCTCTGTCAGCTGCTGGCGCCCGACATCCTAAGCAGCTTGTCCTGTGCTCAAGTTTGGCCCTCGGCCTGGACTGCCTTTTCCCTTCTGCAACCTGAGGTCTTCAACCCATGCTCACTCACCCTCCCCACAGCTTGCCACGGTGTCTGCTCCCAGGGGAAAGCTGCCCACAGCAAGCTGCCCGGCTCCTCAGGGTCACCGGCTGTTCCGCGGGGCAGTCACTGTCTACAAGGGAGCCTGTGCCTTAGAAGAGGGGACACACAGGGACCCAAAGAGCCAAGGAACCCAGACACGGTTGGCAGAGCTTGTCCCTTGTCCCTCTGGGTGATGACTGGACACATCTGACTTCGGTTTAATCCTTTATTTCCTAGTGGCGAGAGCTATATACCTGGTGACCAAAGATCACACAGCGGCCGAGAGTGCTGGGATTAGAACGACCAGGGCAGGCTGAGAACCCATGTTTAAGACCATAGTGTTGCCAAGGAGTGAGCACCCCCTCCCCGCTGGACCAGCCACTACCTGCGTGAGCACCCCCCACCCCTGCATGAGCAGCCTCTAGTGCACACCAGGGACCAAATGAGAAGCCAGAGCCAGTCGGATGGAACTCGATTTAATGCTGGGAAATGTTTTCACAGACAGCCTTCCCCACCCCACTGCCCCCCATCCTGCCGTGTCCTCGATGGGAAGGTGGGTGGGGGACATCCCATTTCTGTTGGAGCCTGGTGGTACAGTGCCTAAAGCACTCCAACCAAAAGGCAATGATGGCCTTGGGGCCCGTGGAGCAGTGCTGCCCCACCCACCCTAGAGGGCCTATGAATAGAGATGGCCTGAGAGCAGCTGCTGGGCTGCTATTAGGTATTCTGGTTGTCCAACTGTGACCAAAGTCTTGTCTCCCTGCCCATATAGGGCCTCAGATTAGAGGTGACTTGTTCCAGGGCTCAGTGACATTGCTGAGGTTTGAATCCAGGGAGTCCAGCTCGGAACGAACGAACTCGGCGCCGTTGGTGCCAGCAGTAGCCTGCCCACAGCAAGGGCTGCTGCGTAGAAAGGCTCCTTTGGGATCAGTCAGTTCAGTGTGCAATTGTAAACGTTCCTTCAGCCTGTGTCTGCAGAGATGGCTTCTTGGCGAGCCGGCGGGCGGCGAGCATTCCTCGGGCAGTGTGTCGTCCCAGGCATGACTGGCCGCCCTGCCCAGCAAGGTCACTCCGAGGGGGTGCTTTAGGCAGTGATTTTCTGCTGCAGGGCCAGTGTCCCTAGACAACGTAGAGCCGGAGGGCCGTGGTGTGAAGAAATGGAAGGCAGGGGCAAGGTCAAGACGTTGACGGCTCTGCCTCTGCCAGACCAGGGCTTCTGTTGCCGAGCCGAGGGGCCATCGCCGTGAAGGGGCGATCTGTGCGCGTAGCAGCTCCATCTCCCCAGGAGACCGGGCATGTGTGTTCACATGGTGGCTCTCCCCCGTTACACTGGTCGTTGCCGTGGACACGTGGCAGCTCTAGCCAGGAAGCCCAACAGTCCTCCCAGAGCACGGCCTTCTGCTGGTCAGTTTCCGAGAGCTGAGCATGGGTGCCACACAGATGGCTGGCAGCCAGTGCCAGCAGGTTGGCTGCTCGTGGGAGCCCTGTCTGAGAGGCCCTGGGCCCCTTCTGCCAGCCCAGATTCCCTGGATTTGTCTGCTGAAGATGCTGCTGTTCATCACACACTCGCACACACGCACACTCATGCCATGAAGACCCCCACCCCAAGAACAGGGTGGGGCCAGGGAGACCTCAGTCCCAGAGCAGGGTGGCCCATGGTCAGAGGTCAGGCTTAGATTCCTGTGGGGAGGCGACGTGATGGCTGGGCTGAACCTTGGCCCCAGCCCCAGATGTGGGGGTTGGGACCTGCCGGGAAGAAAAGCCCCTACTGTCTGCCTTAGGGCAGCGGCAGCACCTAGGTGTGTAACACAGACCCCTCCGTGCGTGGGTGGGCCAACTCTCCCAGCAGCACCAGAGGGCTCTAGCATACCTCTAGGAGTGGGCCTGAGGTGAAGAGAGTCCTCAGGGCCACCCCCAGGCCTGCGGCCGCCTGTGGGGTCCTGAAGCCACAAGGTGAGGAGGTAATTTGGGGGCCCTGGGCTTTCCTTTGGTCCAGGTGGAGGGGGAAGGAGGCCTCCTGTGGTCTAAGTTGGGGCTCAAATCTTATCCCCAGCATGGGGATCTGTCCGACCCCGAGCCCCCAGCCCCATTAGCAACACTTCAGTCACATCCACCTGAATCCAGTCTACCGGACTGCATCCGATTCCATGGGTCCCCAGCTTCCATTCCTCCTCCTGGAGAGGCCCTGCTCCTGGGAGGGAGGAACCCCATCTGTCTACAACAGAAAGTCACTACGGAGAAGGCACAGGCCCTTAGGTGACTATCCCATGGTCTCCTAGGGGGAAGTTGGGGTCCAGAGAGGCCTCCTGGCTTCCCAGCTCAGAGTCACAGCATCAGCTCCATCTCGGGAAGTGACAGGCACACCCAGCAACAGCAGGCCCACCCACCCCATCCCCACCTCTGGGCAGGCCTCAGCCGGAAGGCCATTGGTTTCCTAGCTACAGGCTCAATCGCTTAAAAAATTAAAAAGTCGGAATGCTCCACTCATAATGCAGTCCCGCTAGGCGGCAGGCTCCAGTGCTTGGCCCAAAAGTAATCAACGTTTATCAGCTGCATAGAGGATGTTGTAGTGGGATGTTTTATAGAGCAGGTATACGGAGGGGCTGGCCCCCTCGGGGAACACGTGGTGGTTCAGCGCAGTGTCCATCTCGTCCACGTACTCCACCTGCAGGGCGATGTTGAGCGCCTGCGACAGCGCTGTGATCTGGATGTGGTCGCACTCCATGGCCATGGGCTCCACTTCCTGCAGAGGCCAGAGTGAAAACCAGGACGCAATGGAAACCCAATTTAGGAGGGAAGGAGGGAGGGGAGGGTGCAGAAGCAGCTCGGGGGTCAGGCCTTCAAGGGCCTGGGTCAAAGCCCCAAGGCTGAGAGGGCAGTCGTGGCCTATGTCATGACCAGTGTTCACACGAAAGTCTAGGCAGCTCTAGCCCAGCCAGCAGTGCCTCGGAAGAAAGCCCTGGCCCTCTACTCGTGTCCAGATCATAAGCCAAGAAGGCCCTGCAGAGCTGTGCTGCTCAGTGAATCCAAGCCAACCCCATGCGTGGTAGCTACATCATCTGTTGTCAATTTGAGAGGATTAAGAGTGGAGGGGTGGAGTCTAGCCTGTCAACCAGGCCACAGCTTGATGACCTCATTTGGAGGTGCTAAGGCAATAAATAGCTCGCTGGAGGCAGAACATATGCTCACTCCCTGTGAGACATTGCTGTGGAGAAGATACAGGGAGCTACACTAGAGCCCTGGAGCTGAAGGAGCCCCGTGGAGACCCCTGTATGCACAAGACCTTCCACCCACTGGCCTGTCATCTTCCTGTATTTGGCACAATTGCATGTATTGTGTGAGTCAAGAGGAATTTATAGACTAGTATTGGACATGGGCTAATATTGTACTTGCTCTGGACTAGGATGTTTTCTTAATGTACAATTACTCTTTATATAAAGCTCTTACACACGAGTGTCCATGAATTTGTTTCCCTAGTCAATCCAGACTAACACACCATGCCAACCCTCGAACAGAGCCTCCCAGAGCTCAGAGGGCCTCTGCCTTCGGGGACCCCAATTTCAGTGATCACAGAAGCCAGGGGAGTGAGAGAGTAAAGCGGGGGGTGGGCATGGTGAAGAACACTGGGTGGAAGCAGAGGTGGTAACCCGCTGGCCCCAGATCAAGGGGACAGGTACTGAGAACATGCGGCCTGGGGTGGCGTGGCTCTTCTAGATGTTTCCTATGAAAAGCGACCAGCAGGCAGCTCTTTCAAAGAAACACCTTCTCACCGAGGCCTGTTTGGGGGTGGACGCACCCTGCGGTGGCTGCTCTGCCGCTTCAGAAGCTGCCCAGCCCCCAGCCCCTTGTCCCTAATGGGCAGGCGGAGGCCCAGAGAGGGCAAGCGGCTTGTCCAGGGCCACACAGTCCAGGCAGCTCAAGTGGGACTCATCTCCAGCTACCCTGACCCTGGAGGGCTCTCTGAAGTGCCAACTCGGTGTGCTATGCCAAGTCCCCTGGCTAGCTGGTGCTAAGTCTGCGGGCTCCTCTGAGACCCCCCAGGAGCCCCTGCCCGTCGCCCAGGGACGCACGTGAGCGCAGAAGTCTTTGATGTCCATCTCCTCATCGATGAAGTGCCGGAAGAAGTCAGCTCTGTTCTTGATGAAGGCCGAGGTGAGCAGGCGCAGGAACTGCACCACGCGGTCCGAGGTGCTCTGTTCGTTGAGCACCTTCAGCAGGCTGGACACGGAGCCGTCCCTCTCCACCAGCTCCACCACGCTGTAAAACTGGCCGCCGGTGGGGGGTGGGGGGTGGGTGTCAGCCGGGAGGGGTCAGGCCCACTTCCCTTCCCAGGAGACTGCAGCAAGCCCTCCCAAGCTAGTTCCTGGCCCAGGAAATGCTCTAATGAACGCTGTAGCCCAGAGTCGTAGCTAAGGAAGGGACCCTGTGTGGCACGAACAGCCGAGCGCGTGACTGCCTGCTGAGAGGCTGGAGTGCGAGTTCACCGACAGTCCTGGCAATCTGTCTCAGAAAGGCCCCGAGGAGCAGCTCTTCCTGTACGCCAGAGGGTCAGGAGTGGGGGTGGACTGGACAGCA